TCTTTAGGTTATTTCTTGGTTTTCTGATGTTGGGTTTATTGCTTGAAGGCTGTATATATCTTACACATGCCCATATGCCCAGCGAGTGTGGATTACTATGAATTGCAAGGTTATTTCTCGGTTCTCTTCACGATTTGTTTTCTATTGGTTCAATTTTCTGGGAGTCTCGATCTTCAATAAAGTATTTGGCATAGTTCTCTGAGCTTTTCTCTCTACAGTTTTACTTTTTCTATTATAACTTTTCGATAAATAGGGATTGCAGGAGAAGATACAACTGATTCCTATTGATTTACAGAATAGGCCTTGCTTGGTGACACGCTTTGAACCCATACATGATAATGATATTACCAACGTTTTCTAGACTTAAATAAGACTGTTGTTTCTCTCTTTCTGAAACCTCATTGATTCTTGACTTAGTTACATTACATGAAAAGTTATAACTTAAAACCAGTGCGTTCATGGTGGGCTTGAAAACATGAATCCTTTAGATATAGGAAAAGGAACGGATGGGGTTAAGCTGAGAAGTCTTTTTATATTTCCTGTATTTGTTGCAGGTGCCATCATTGGAACATAATAATGAAGCCAAGGAGAGAGTCTCGATTTGATTAAATACATAGACAGTCACTTCGGAGGACATCCACTTTTTACTAATGTGAGATTGAGATAACATATGTTGATACCATTTATGAAAACCCTTTTCTATAGCTTCAAATTTTTAATAGAGGCTATGCTCGAAGAAAAAGTTTGTTGAAGAGGTAGGGAATGTTAGAGGATAGTCGATGAAGAGGTCGGGAAGCTCTTAGCGGTAGACTTTATCAGGGAAGTTCATTACTCGAGTTGGGTAGGTAATCCAATTCTGGTAAAAAAGGCCAACGGCAAATGGCGTATGTGCGTCGATTATACCGACCCGAATAGAGCCTACCCAAAAGATTGATTTTCGTTGCCCAAGATCGACCGCTTAGTGGACGCAACCTTTTTTGGATGCATACTCTGGTTACAAGCAGATCAGGATGGACCCTGCTGATGAAGAAAAGATGGCCTTTATAACTGAGTTCAGATTGTATTACTACAAGGTCATGCCCTTCGGATTAAAAAATGTCGGGGCCTCAAGTAAATGACATGGTCGTGAAGACCCAATTTTCAAAATTTTTGTTAGACGATTTGCAAAGTATTTTTGACATTTTACGAAAGTATAATATGAAATTGAATCCCAACAAATGTGTCTTCGGGATCACCTTGAGTAAATTTTTGAACTACATAGTCAACCGATGCGGCATCGAAACCAACCCGGAAAAAATAAATGTCATCTTAGATATGAGACCACCCCGCAAACTAAAAGAGGTTTAGAGGCTGAATGGCCGGATAGTCGCT